CTTGCTCTGTGGCTGGTTGTGTGGCTGGGTGGCTGGCTCCTTCATTTATCACTCCTTGACCCCCCTCTCTTTCTCTCTTCTCTCCTTCTATTTATTCTCGCTGCCTTCCAGCCCCACCTAGCCTTTCTCCTGCCTTGCTATTGGCCCCACCTTCACAGACTTAAACAAATGCAACATAAAAGAATGCAACACGTCTTTGCATCATTAAGCAAATGTTCCACAGCATAAACAAATGCAACAGATTTTAAAATAGTATTCTACAACACATGAATTGTCACCATAGAATGGCTGCTCGTGAAGAGGGCTCCTGGCTGTAGGAGGCTAAAGGCAGATGTGTGCCCTCTCTCTGCCCAGGGCCCAGATTTCGGCTATGTGACCCGGGAGCCCCTCTTTGAGAAAGTCACCAGCCTCGACTCCTTTGGGAATCTGGAAGTCAGTCCCCCAGTGACAGTGAATGGCAAAACATACCCTCTTGGCCGGATCCTCATCGGGAGCAGTTTCCCTCTGTAAGATACCGGGGGAGAGGGGGAAAGGACCTGGGGGGCAGCAGGCACAGGAGCATGACTGTCTCTTTAGGGGTAGCCTAGGGTGTATATGCCTGAAGTGAATCTAAGGGGGAATATCCCCTGCCGCAGTGCACTGTAAATCAATAGACTGGAAAGAAAGCCAGGTTAGCCTTTATGCCTTAGTATGAATTAAGATCTAATATGCAACCCAGAACCCTCTTCCACAAATGGGAGGTGTGTGGTGAGATGTAGGCCAGGTGGGGAAGGGGTGTGGGAGCCTGGAGAAGGCACGCTGGCAGAGGGGAGTGGGAGAGTGGGGGCTGCCTGTAAAAGAAGGGGAAGAGAGAGACAAGGCATGGCCCTGCCTCACAGGCGTGAGTCTCTGGCTCCTTTGGCTGTCCATGATAATCATACTCTCTGCCCAGCCAATGAAAAGGCAGATCCTACCTAGATCCAAACAGTTGCTGGGAGAAAGCAAGCAGTCCGGGGTCCGATCCACATGGAATGTTCTACTATCAAGGGGACGTGGGTAATGACCATTAGCCTACCCTCCCCTAATTCAGTGGTCACCCATCCACTCAGCAGCTACTTCCGGTGCCTCAGTGGAGTGCCTGGGAGGAGAGGATGACAGTCACAGATGTGTCAATTCCATGCTGAGCATGGAAGCTGACTTCAGCGGCTCACTGGCCAATTCTGGGGCAAAGGCTGAACTCTAAGCCCTCCACATAGGTTTGACTGTGGCCAGCATGCCCTCTTCCTGCCTGGGGCTCCAATACCTTCTGCCTGCACCAGGCTCTCACCTGTGCCCTGTATAGTACCAAACAGATCTGGCCTGCATTCCAGATGCTGAACATCTCGTCCTGGAGGTGCTGTGGTGCAGGGCACAAGTATAACCTACTAAAACCCTCTCCAACCCTGCCCTAGGTCTGGAGGCCGGAGGATGACCAAGGTGGTACGTGACTTCCTGCAGGCCCAGCAGGTGCAGGCGCCCGTGGAGCTCTACTCCGACTGGCTGACCGTAGGCCATGTAGATGAGTTTATGACTTTCGTTCCCATCCCAGGCACAAAGGTGAGCTGATCCCCAAGACTAGAGTGAGTTGCATAGCCAAGAAGCCATGCACTGCTCGGCCTCACCAGCAGAGAGTGGGGTTCGGAAGAAGAAGGAAGTAGACTGAAGATGGGTTTGTAATGTGTGGCTACGGCAGGCCATTTTTAACCCACAAATCCAAAACATCAGTATTTCCACATGTAAGCAATGTGAAAATATAGGCAGACTTTTCTTTCCCTCCCACCAGCTACCAGATAACCTACACAGAGCCTTTTTTTTTAAGATTTATTTCATATACACTATTCTACCTACAGGCCAGAAGAGGGCACCAGACTGGATTGTAGATGGTTGTGAGCCACCATGTGGTTGCTGGGAATTGAACTCAGGACCTCTGGAAGAGCAGTCAGTGCTCTTAACCTCTGAGCCATCTCTCCAGCCCCTACACAGAGTCTTAATATTAATTATAAATGCTGGGCCAATAGATCAGACTTGCTATTAGCTAATTCTTACATTTTAAATTAGCCCATTTCCATTCCTTTACTTGCTGCCACTTGGCTCATGGCTTTTTACCTCATTTTGTACACATCCTGCTTCCTCTGCATTTGGTTCTTGACTCCCCTGTCTCCACCCTT